TTGCCTTAACCAGGACCAGTTAGTGATAAAGGAATTCAAAGTTTTTTAAGAGTTCCCACCACTGACCCTCCCCTCCACTCAATTTCTGATGTTCCATATAATCTAATGAGATGAGTACAGTTCCTTATCCTTCAAACTACTGGGGAAGGGATCCAAATTAAGCTGTTTGGAAGCCAATAAATAGAGGGGAAACTCTGTATTTAGGTTACTGGAATTGATGACTATTGCTAGAAAAACCAAAGGGCTTTTTGGTTGAGATAAAGATCCTTGAAAAAGCTGATTTCTTCTCTCTGTGGAATCATCTCTTGGTTCAGCTGTGACTTACCGTGGTTGAGATGGTCAGTCAACTCTCATCCTTCCTGCATTTCTTACCTGAAAGGAGATTGAAATTGGCATCATGTTTATGATATTTCCCGGCCACATTCCAGATCTGTATCATTGGCAAAAATCTGTCCTACCCATTTCACTGCATTTTCTTTAGGGCCCAATGTGATATGTATGTGAAATCACTTTACAAACTATAAAGTATGATAAAAATGTGAGATGGTTTTACTGGAAACAATTGAACACTAGAAACTGATATGGTATAAGCAATATCAGGGAATTACATATTGGTCAATTCAGATCCTTTATTTTTTTAGGACCTGGCACAACCACCTTATTTGTGCAGATACACCCCCCCCCCTTTTTTTTTCGTTCTCACAGGAAATTAGCTTAGTAGGTAGGTTCAACGAGCTGTTCTTTGCAATATTTTATCATGGAATCTGGAGGAGATATTTGTAGGGTTTTTGTCATTGAACCATTTGGACATGGAGAGTCTTATCAGAAAAAAAATCTTGTATTCTCAGAAGATATGTGAAAAATGTCTGTGGATGAGCCATTTTGATATCTTTAATGAGCCCTATCTCCTATCATCTAATAACTTTCCTACCCACTCTTCTACAAACTTAAAGACCCTCCTTTTTCTCTCATTGATCCATTAACATAAAGTCATTTTCTAATGCACTATTATAAGTAATTACAATTAGAATGGATTTATTAATTAATGGCTATAATAATCATTATTAATTACTCTTAACTATACAGCATTCCATTTAATGTTCCATAATTCTTCATCTTTAGAAAGATAGAATTTAGAGTTACCCCTGAGGACAATAGAACCAGGACATCAGTTAGGGACTATAGTTAGAACAAAGAAATAAAAGTATATAATACTTAAAAATGAAGAGCTAAACAGATCTTGCAAATCTCCATGTTTATTTTGCCTATATCAGGTTAAATTTCTAAAAATTGGGAAAATCAATACAATCTCCAAATTTCATCCTGTGCATTGCTTTTATTCATCAACTATTCAGGGAATATGATGATCCCAGATTTGTATTTATGTAGAACTACAATATTTAAATAGACACTAAACAAGTTTACCTATTTTCACTAAAAATTTTGCAGAATAAAAAAATTAAGAGAAAGTAGTTTTTTAACCCAGAGACTGAGAATTATCTGCAACAAGTTGATGTTGATTGAAAACCAAAATGCTACTTTAATCTATGTCTGAGGAAAGTTATTGCGGTATTTTAGAATATTCCAAGCTCCATGTATTTACTTTACCTAAAATGACATCCTTTGCTATCTAGCATATTATTTATCTATATTTAATTATTTCTATGTGTTTTTCATTGTTCGAGCCAAAGACCAACATATCATAGCAACACTTTCTCTAAAACAATGGAAAGTGGCAAGAACAAATTTTACAGAACCCTGTTTCAAAGTAAGCAGAATGACACTGTGGGGAGCCTAAGCGGATACTGAAAGCACTGACAGCTAGATATGGGAGAAAAGCAAATTACTTTCCTAAGAAAACCTAGAATGAAGTTGAGTTAGATGAGCTATGAAAGACATACAATTAGACATAAATTGTACATTTTCCCCAAATAACTAACTCAGTTGTTCCCTTCTACTGACCATTTTTGGTTCAATCCAATAATCTCCTACTTTGATACACAGTTGAAATATTTTATTCTACTTCTTGAGATCACGTATTTCAAGAAAGGTGCTGCACAACAACTTTTAAGATGCCATTGTACTAGAACTAGAAAGGACGCACTAGGACATTAAAAATGGCCGGAATGAAAAACGGGATATTCTGCAGAATCCTACAAATCCCTCCACTGCCACTCTCTGGTTTCTGTGTCAGTTACGTTGGTTGGTTTTAATAGCCACTCTTACTTTTTTTTTTTTAAAGCTTATTAGCAAATGATGCTGGAACAGTTTACTTCCATACACACACAAAGATAGGCATGTGCAGAGAAAACAAACAAAACAGAAAACCCAAAACTTTAATCCACATATTAAAACTAACTCAAAATGGATCATAGAACCATCATTAAGAAACTTGATAAAGAAAACAGGAGAAAATCTTTGTAAACGTGGGTTGAGCAAAGAATTCTTATATAGTTCAGAGCATAACCCATCAAAAATGAAAAAATAGTATTTTAACAAAATTAAAACATTCTTTTTATCAAAAGATACTGTTAAGAGAATGAAAAAGTAAGCCACCACTGAAAAAAAAACAAGATATTTGCAAAACATATACCTAATAATGAAACTGTCCTAAGTGTATAAAGAACTCTCAAAGCTTAAAAGAAAACAAACAAAACAATTTTAAAAATGGGAAAATTATTTGAACAGATAATTTGTGAAAGAAGATATAAAACGGCAAATAAATATATGAATATATGCTAAATATCATTAGCCACTAGAGATAGCTAAACTAAAATGATCATGGGATATCACTACATAATCATTAAAATTTGTAAAAGTAAAAAGACCAGCAATGCCAAGTGTTAGTATGGATATAGAAGACTGGAACAATCACTTTGGAAAACAGTTCAGCAATTTCTTAAAAAGCTAAATATACATCTATACTATACCCAGACACTCTACTCATTCATAAGTATTTATACCTCACAAGAGGAAAGAAAGTATATCTTTGTACAAAGTTTTATACAGGGATATTCATAGCAGCTTTACTTGTAACATAAAAACCTGGGAATAATTCAAATAAGTAAATTAATAAATAAATTGTATTATGTAGATATAATGGAATATTATTCAGGAACAAAATATAAGGAACTATTGATACACACAATATGAGTTGTTGAATATATACACACAATATGCTACTTAAATATATACTATATGTTTATGGGGAAAAAATCAAGTAAATGCAAACTAATCTATACTAAAAGAAAGCAGACCAGTGGTTGCCTAGAGATGACTAGGAGGAAGGCATCATAACAGGGAATGATGGATATATTCACAATTTTGATCATGGTGATGGTTTTACAGATGTGCACGTTTGTCAAAACTAAATATACTGTGCACTTGAAACATGTACATTTTATGACATGTCAAGTACACCTCATTAATACTCTAATAAATACTCCATTTCCCAATCTCTTCTTCCTCATTTTACCACAAAATCCACTTTATTTCATATTCCAATTTTCAGCCTTT